GGTGCCACTCAAAGAAGCTGGGGTTCTTTTCAAAAGTGATGCAATCCTAGAGAAATTTACTTTTAATTACAGCAACAAGAACTAAAAACTGATTCAAAAGGAACGTTATTTCACTGAAGTTATATTTTGATCAGTCTCTTCCACAGCCTTTCTATGAGATTTCATGCAAAGCTTCTCACGAAAAATCGTTTAGGGAGGAAGCAGGAGGAGAGGGGGGTACTTGAGTTGTTAAGTGACATCCCAAAGAACTACTGCAAAGGAGACTAAATTTTGATAAGAGTCTTTTCTCTTTGAATTCTCTTTGCCTCTTTAATGTGGTGACATGTGTAATTTACCCAACCTAATTAAAAATTTGATCAATCGAAGAGCAAGAGAAATGCCTTAGACATGGCATTTTCTGCGATAGGGGGATTTGTAACTTTTCCAGATAGGTTAATAATTACAATGAGAATTACTGAATCGGAGAAAATACTTGTACAAAAACCCTTCCAAAGTACAAGTGAGCGATGACTAGTTTGTCTTTGAAGTAGCAATACATTGCTAAGTAAACAGAAGACAAGAAAGAAAAATTTAGACTAATATATTTAGTTTCATTACGCACCAAATTCTCAAGACTGAAATTGTAAGACGTGTCACAGAAGGAAATGAAAATTGATCTTGAGTGTGATATGGACGAAGCTCTCTGAGATTTTTTAAAACTGGGACATTTAATAAAGGGCGTGCTTCCATCCAAAATACTCATCAGGCTATGGCAATTTGCATTTTCACCCTTAAATGACGCTTAATACTCTAAGTCGTTAAAAACTGAATGAATGGAAACTAAACATAATCTGGCAGTTCATACTAACATTTATCAAGTTAATATTTAGAACGACAGGGATCAGAGTGGCTTTTGGATGGGAACAGCGTTTCATTAAATTCTAGCGTTTCCAAAATATATTGTTGCTATTGTGTTTGTTTACTGGTTTATACATTTCGACTTGTTTTGCTATTAGGGCATTTATGATCATCTTAAGAACATATAGAGAGCGACCAGACGAGGTATTCTTTATCCCTAGGACATAATTTTCCTATATAAAACGACTGATATCATATAAATTGATTCGCTCATACGGAAGGGGAAGTTATTCTAGATTTAAAGCACGAACGTGGCAACCGTCCCTTAGCTGGAAGTGTCCAGGTACGACTATTGTTCCACTACGTAGAGTAAGAATTATCACAAAGTAAGCATTTAACCCTTGTAAATCCAAGTTAGATCAGTGGTTTATTCCTTGTGCATTAAGTTGTAGTGGTGATACTGTTCTTAATACGCGAGTGTTATTTATCACGTAAGCACTGACATGTAACATTATCCTGATGGTTATTTTCAACAATAAAATAAGAAACTTAAAAAGAAAGTTAGCAGAAGAAAGGAGAATTGAGCTTACACTGGTAATTCTCTTTGCTTTACAAGACCATGACAATTTTGGCAAATTCAGGAGATGATTTCAACAGGGGGACGTTCCCGAACAGAACTCTCGGAAAGGTTGCTGAGTGCCGCTGAGGTAAACGATTCTTCCAAAAACCGCACAAACACAGCCTGTGGCGTGGTTTAATCGCGCAAATAAAAAACTGTTGCCTTTTCTATTTCACACTAGGGGCTCTTCGATTATTGGGGTAAAAAAGAAATATAAAAAATTACTATGATCTAGACCCTTCGAACAAAAGACTAATATTTATTCACAAGCTTTCATGTGTCCAATTTTAGGTGTCAGTGTCCTCGGCGAACAACATTCCCATAACATTAACTGTTCATTGGTCTTGTTTCTATTTTGTTTATTTACTTGCTGGACAAATGCAGATTATTCTGTAAAGAAGGTGCCCTATCTTTTCGCTAGGATATGCCTGAGCACTGATAAAAGTGAATTAAGGAGCTCACAAGGTCAAGGTGCAGCTAAACCTCCCAAGATGGTTTGAATCATAATTTAGCAAACCCTTCCTTCGTTTTCCTTAGCAACTAGCTTACTTTTCTCTAAGCTGCATTAAGATTCAAGACGTTTACATAATATTATGCAATGATACGTTACACTACTGCGGTCTGCTGTTGGAAATCACCTTTACAGGTGTCAATTATTAAAACTTCCTTCTCAAAAAGAAATTCATTGATTTGCATTGGGGTACATCTTAAAGGGAAGTATTTCACTGCGTCCAGTCTAAACCAGGGGCCCTATTTAATCAAACTCTTGACTCTTAAAGGAACAATGACTTTCACAGAGAACAGTGAAAGGTTACTTAGCCACAGCAAATCGCTTTTCTTCCCTTTTCTTAATTGGGACAACTTTACTAAATTTTCTTCTTTAATCCATTCCTTCTTCTGTGCTCACAATTTCGCCCAGGAGTTTTCTGAATTAGCCAAAGGTTCAAGAAAAATATAAAAGTTTCCAACACGAAAGGTATAATTCACCATGATTTAAGCTCTTTTGAAAGGGGGACCGAGTGAATTCGGCCACATGAAATTTCAACAGTTCCAAACAGTTCTCTGTCTTGGAAAGTCAACGAAATTCGTTTCCATTTCAACAGTTCGCTATTGATACATTACGGCCGGTTTCGATAGGAACGCTATAAGCTGCAAGCTCCAAAAGAAGGTGAAACATTACATTGTTCATTCACCTGTGACACTAGAAAAAAAAAAGCGACGACAGCTCTAAGCACTTAAGATGGAGGACACGACAGTCATATAATTGTCACGTAATGAAGATAAAACCAATGCTCGATTGCCAACATTAATGAAGCGGCCTGCTTTTTGGACTTTTGGCAACAACGACCTCTACTATCGGCGAATTACCAAAGAGAGACACGAAAGACCTTTGAATTAAGCAACCTGCCGAAGTGGAGGAACTTGCTTGACAGGTATGTATCCTTCCACAGTCGAAACGTTAATTGCTTAACTACTTTTAGACTATTTTCTAGGTCGTTGCCTCATCAGACATAAATTAGATAATACTGCCATAAATAAACAAAATATACTCGCGCCAGGATGAGCCCACGGTACAGACCTTGTTCACACATCAAGATTATGCGCAACAAGAGGTAGTTTCATGAAACCACGTGAATTGCAAGAGCTATAAAGACCTTTTTATCACATTACAGCAAAAATATTATATTTCTGCCGACTTTGAATCCAGGTAAGAGTAAGGAATTAGCGTTTTCCATTTACTGACTCCTCAGACGAGCTTAATTAACCGGCTAATTAGATTATACAATGTTAATCTCGTTGGATTCGGACATATCCGACAGAATTACTTCAAGACGTAGTTATACACCGTCAAATTCGATATCAATAACTCCGTTTCCTTTTACGACAGCTGTAACGATGAAAACTTATTGAACGTGCATTTTACACCGTAGTTCTTCCCCTAAGTGTTATTTGGTGATTCAAAAATTACCTCGTTGTTCGTTTCGTTTGCCAGCAAAAAAAACTGCTTCATTTAAATATGCTACTTGCACGCCAAAGCTCAATGCCACTAGAGCGTGTCTATCGATAGGAAGTACGGTTCGCCTAAGCCGGAGATAGAACAGGTTCGTTCCTCACCTTGCTAACTATCTAGCATTTGTCGAGTCGTTTCAAATATGTCATCGGCGACCTTAAGAACACCCACACACTTTTTATTATTAGAACGATAATCGGGCATCGTGAATGAGTTGTTCCAAACTATGACATTCAGCCATAGTCCACTTGAGCTCTACATATTATCAATTTGGTCAATAAATACCTCCTACAACCGCACAGACGAAGAATGCTTTCACGCGTACAGGTTCTAATCATAACAAAAACGCTATACAATATACAAAAACCCTGACGGCAAATTACACCGCTAAGTCAATAGCCACTTCTGGCGCGACGATTAAAGGTCAGATCAGAAATTAACACCCTATCGTGTTCGTAATTAACAAAGTACTTAAGATAAACACGTGTACTATTCAAAAACGCTGTTTCGTAAACATCTCTATTAAGCCTATCAAATCACATGCTTAATCATTAAAGGCACCTGCTGTGCTCATTTCGTGAACTAAAATAGTTTTAAATTTAAAACAAACAAACGTACAAAACAAAACAATACCGTGCCTATTTAAATCAAGTTATCATTTCCGGTTCACAGCACGACATGCAGGGATTAACAAAGATAAATATTGGAGCAATTTCAAAGGCCGGTTGCATTCAATTGAAGCTGTAATATTTATAAAGGCGATACAGTTTCACGTGACCCTGAGGGTTAAACGAGAAATGAGCTTTGGCTGTCTATTTTCCCTTGGTTAATGTGAATTGGTTCGCTAGGACTGAAAAATCTCTAAACAACGAAATCAAAGTGACTGTGGGGCACTGAACGCGGACAGTTTTAAATAATTATTATTATCACCTTTTTCATTTTTTTCCTTTTTTTCCTTTTCTTATGTACCTTCTACTTCAAAAGCTTTGTTTCGCAAGAAACGTCTCCATTTCTTGTGCAGTAATCGGCACTTAAGAGGCCAACTACCGAAGCGCAACGTTTGTTTTTCTTTCTCTTTCAGGTTCAATAAAACCCAATTGAAAGATGCCTTCCTTCCATAGGCATTTATTTCCGTTAACGTACTCTTGCTTTTTTGCGTTTTTCTGAAACGGTACTGAATGCATCGACTAAACTGTCTTTTCGGGAAAAAGTTGTTCAAACAATTAGTACAGTTCTGTGGCTGAACACGCTAACAAATAGGGTTACAGTACCCAGTTTCTTTTAATAGAACTACTTGAAGGGAAAGGGGGCACCGAATAATAAATGTAACTTTATGATAAAACCCTTTCGATAAACTACAATTAAACATTTGGAAAGTAATTTGTTTGCTCCACAATAAAAGAAGCCACATTTTCCTTAGATCGGCTTAAGTTAAGATGCACCATTATGAAAACGTATTTGCTGAAAATCAAAATTGCATAGTATCTGTCGTTACATCTATCCTGACAAGAATATTGTTTTATATTACTTTAGATGGCTGCGAAAAGCAAAGAGGTAAGACTTTCCCCTTAGGCAAATTTGCATCAACGCCTAACTAATACAAAAGAGGAAACATCTTAACTCAATTTGTAACAAGTTAAAGTGAAATAGCTAATTTCTGATGTAATCACAATTTGTTTTCTTCTATGTAGAATTTAATTTATTGCAATCTCAAGTTTTAACAGAATCGTGAAATTACTTCTCTTTCTGGTTTCGACGAGACAGATTTAAATCTAATGAGACTCACACATGTATATTTGTATCCATTTGTAGAGTAAAGATTCAAGTTCTTCCGAGGAAGATGAGGAAGGAAGAGAGTGAGTCTTACTTGTATACTTACGAAAACTTACTAGCTTTAATACCTGGGTTTAAGTACAATTTGGTGCTTTGTTCAGAAGTTAGGTACCAAAGACAAAGCACCAAAATATCCTGGTTTTATTGCCTAGGTGCAATTTCTCGTCATTCTTTTCGTGCAGATAAGCCACATTCCAGTTTTTACTTACGCAGTTTAGACAATGTACCAGCATCGACACAGGTGATAAGAATATCGAACCCTGTTACTGTACCTTCTACCACAGAGGTAAACACAGGTTAAAAACAAAAATAATAAACTTGTGTTGCACAGAACATGGGGAGTTCGTTCCATCATACCCTCGGATGGTTAGATTATTCTACTGAAATTTGTTATTTATATCAAGCCAATCTTAAAAGTCGATAGCATGAAAATGTATTTCAGTCAAATCAAAAATGCGAAAAGCATTTAAAGCTAACTTCAGTGGACTGAAAATTTACAAAGTTCTTCTATAAATAGTGCTAATAGCAACTGTAAATCCACCCTTCTTCATCACAATGACTATGTCGCAAATGTCACAGAACACCTCAGCTTGATCAAACAGAAGAAGAACCAATACTTTTGCAAGGCAACAACAACAGGACTTTTGACGGCGTGGAAAATGATAGTCGGGTAAGTGTTTGAGATAAGATTGTACAAGCCTTTACAATTGAGTGTGTCCAGTCAAAGGTCTTTATTGATTGTTCAAATGCCTCAGTAGCATTAACTAAGCGTTAAGTATTACCATCGTCGAGGTCAACGCTATCGATTCGGCGGGATGATTGACTGTAGAAAGACACATATATAAAATGTAATGTTATCTTCCTACAGATTAACAACAACGTCGCAGCTCAGCAGGCTCTGATGGAAGCAAAGTAAGTCATATACTCCTTACTACCCCCACAGACCTTATGCAATACAAACAAACTTTCATTCACATAATTCTGGTTCAATAAAAGCAAAAAGCAAAACATATGCCCTTTTCAATTTTGCAGCATTATGTACGAAGTCCGCGAAGGATGTATACAGATCAGAGCCTTCAATGGGGTAGGAGACTAAAAAAAGGAAGTTGATGAACAATGATTATGTTTACAGTTCAAAAGAAAGGAAAACAGAAGGAAAAAAACAACGAGTTTGACCTAGCTGGCCTTAATGCAATTAAGTTGTCTTGTGAAATGCAAAAAGAAATACTCAAAACAGTAAAAGAAAAGGTGAATAATTGATTCAATCGTAATTTTCATTTTCCCACTTGAAAGCCGTAAATATTAGGAAAATTAATCCAAAAACAAAATTTTTAAAAAATTAAACAACATTGGAAAGGAGATGCGCCTTAATTTTTTAAAATTAAATTAAAGTTAAACAACTACTGAGATTCCAGGAAGTAATTTGATGTCCTATTTTTCTTATTTTCCTTTGAAATGTGGCTGTCTATTGTATATACATTTATATGAAAAGCGCGCGATATCTCGGTTTCCGTTATGAAGAACTTGACGTCGCGACGCCTAAATAACGGAACATAACTGTGTATATTTTTGTTAGAATGACTACGAGCCATTGCCTGGTTGGACGACATCCGGGCAAAGAATTCAACAGTGCACTGAAGGGAACCCCCCATGGTAAGCGGAACAAAATTTTACGCATCGAATAAGAAAGAAAAAATGATTTACATTACAATGAACGATCCAAGAAACGAGAGAGCCACTGGTTTTCCTTTTCCATTCAAACTAACCGGCTAGAAAGCACCTGTAATTCAAGACACTTATTGACTTGTGCTGATTAAACGTAAATTAATGATTGATTGCTGTAGATTTATTTCTATGGCTTCGAAGGGTCATTCGACTACTAGTAATTAGACATTGCTTTATCACGGGGGAAGGAAAGGTAAGAGAATTAATCGTAGAAAGAATTCAGATTAAAAATTATCCTTTTCAGGATTGGACACCACCAAGAAGAACAAGACCTTATTATACAGGTAAACAACTGAAATAATTTATTCCAATGAAAGTACAGCAAAGCAGGCCATTTTTCTCGCAAAATATCTGCTTACTTGCTTTTCTCCAATTTCATCTTTTAAAGGCATCGGATGACGAGAACCAGCTTGACGAGGCCATTTTTATATTTATTATACTTTTTTTCTACTTGTCTGAGAATTTTCTAACTTTGAAATAAAATTCTATTAGATTGTATGTTTACGTACGTGTATCCTTTAGGCTATGCAAATAAAGTATTGTAAAAGTTATCATTCTTTTGCCTTGACATGGATGTCTACATCTACCAGAATGCTCTGACGAGGTCAAGTGATATCATACTGTCATTTCCACTCCATACACACTTGACCTCATCTGGCCTGTCTCTTCAGTGTTTTGAAAATTCACTCAACTTAAATGGAATTTAACAAAAAAAAAAAAACCAAAGAAAAACAAACAGTTTTAAACTTTCATTTTCAACTGTTCGCATCACACGTTTCTGTGGGGAAAATAATTAAGGGGGGCCGGTAGCACAAGGCACACGATATCATAGAATAGGGTCGGAATGATAATTTTTCTTCTCTTTCCTAATTCATATTCACGCTAACTTTCGATAATCTGGTTTAAATTCCAATTTCTTAAAAAAGAGTTAATTTCTTGAAAGTTTAACCTGAAGAATAAAAGCGCTGCAAGACTCAGGATCATACATGACAACCCATTTCACTCATAAAGCCCTAGCAAGTCTGCAACGGAAGCACAAGTTCTTGCCCTTTTGGAGACGTTGGCATTCCTTTGTTATGCTGAGAAAAACACTCACGTCACAGGAGACACTGAGTCATCGACGAAAAATACCACTTTAGTGAAGGAGGTCAGGCTCATAAAGTTTCACTGCGTAAAAAACGCTACACTTGCAGGTTTAACTTCTGCTTCGAAAACATTTTTTACTACTTGAAAGGGATTTGTCCCAGGGAAAATTTCCGAGTGCAACAATGGCAAAACTGCAAAACCAGCGGCGTTCATGAGAGAAGCGAGCGACCGCTAAAAAAACAAAACGTTCACAATTGCCACTAAATATCTTTCTTTTGTTTTTCTGTAGTCTTCAGTCAGTCTCTGTTTGTTGTCATGCCTACGATACGCTCCGATAAACCCGACTTGAAAACATGAAAATCGTATCTTATTAACATATGACAGTTCATGTCATATCTGCATATAGAAACATCAAAATTTAAGGGCTTTTTTGTCAACAATTCTCTTCTAGTCTTGATTAACGGATGTTGATGGTCGAACTGCCCGAAGAGCAGTACGTCTAAGCTGACTTTCACATTCTTATTATAAAATACATGTTGAAGATTCTAGATCTCGCTTTAACAAAGACAGTCGCCCACTCACTGTTAAATTGTCCCACTATAAATAGTTTCAGTTTCCGAATGAAGTCATCAAAAATACAAAAATACTTGGGCAACCCACCGTATTTAAAACGTCATATACTTTCACCTACAATTTAATCTCCTTGTGAAAAAGGAACTTCATCGAATGTTATGTAAAAACCACCTTGACATGCTTAAAAGATCATCTTAAATTTGGTTCTTAATTGACGTAATAAACAAGTTTGACAAAACCTGCCCAGACTTGCACATTCCAAATATTTCCCCGTTGGGCTTTTTCCCTAGTTAAAGCCGGGAAAAAAATCCCCGTCTAAAAGATTTAAGAAACTTGCACGAAATCATTTTCTCCATTAGCACTCTAAGGAGACAAGTTCTGCAGTGAGGAGTGCGCTTTAAACTGCATTCGAACGAGTGCAGCGACAATGGGACGGAGGTACAGGTCTGTAGGTCTGCTGACAACATCACACTACCATTCCTACTCAAAATATTTAAATTACAGTCCTACACTGTACATGTAAATTGAACCACAAGCAAATTGTCTATTCTCTCTTAAACACAACGAACATATTCACGACATATAAAACTAAACAAGGCTTTATATTGATTTAGAAGTTAAGAGAAATGAGATAAAGTCTCTAAAGATGCACAGAATTTTCTCCCTGTGTGACGCAATGAGTAACTCTGAAGTAAATCCATGTCATACGTGCTCTACAGAAACCAAGCACCGCCAAGTCAGCATAAGGTGGCATGGGCGAGGAAACTACAAATACAGACCTAACTATAGACATGATGGACGCATTCTTTCAGTGAAATCGCTACTAAATGAAGGAGGGATGTTTTGGGAGATTGATGGCATATGTGCGTTTTCAATATCAATACATCAGACTTATCACCGAATTTCTTCACTATGTTTTGCTTGCATATGCCATATACTGCATGGAAGCACAATGGATGGCCAAAGTAAGTCTATTTTCGCCTTGTTTGTTTTTCAAGTAGTAACTCAATCGTTTGTGTAGCCTACGTGTAGCCGTACCCTCCCCCCTAAGCAGAAACGGAGTAACGTTTCTCCTGGGGGGGGGAAGGGGGGGGAAGAAAGGGTACTACTACGCTATCGTTAGTCCTAGCAACAAATCGTAATTGTAAATCAGTTTCGTTGCCGTTTCAAAATGATCAGTCGTTGGTGGTGAACCTCAATCGCTTGTGCTGTTTCACCAATAGGACTTCAATTGAATGCGCTAATTATGAATCGCTGGTGTTCTGAGGCAGATCGATAGCACTAAATATCAATCGTAGTTTTCAGTATCAATCGATAGTGTTCGACCTTCATCACTGGTGTTGTTTTTAAAATACAGCCATCGTAACAATGTCGATTGCCAGTGTTGCAACCGATCGTTCGTAATAAGTATAAATCGCCACCGTAAAACGTCAATTGTTAGTGATAATATCGGTTTTTTATTGATTCTACCCCTCCATGGGGATTATGGAGGCAATCAAAATAATTGTACCCCAAGCGGCACAAAGCAAACTTAAAAAAAGAAACTAAACGCAAACCTAAAATTAATTGACACAAACGACCACGCTTCTACCAAGCCAAGCCAGTGCATGATTTCTTGCTTCCTAATTGATCATTTCATTTCCACTTGATCCTTTAGAATAGTTCCTATTTTCCTCTCATCCTCAGCTATTATGCGCTATCGTGTAACACAGAGGCCAACAATGACTTTCCGTACTTAAAACATCACGGTGATTGTACATATATTTCTAGGGTTTTGCAGCATTGCTTGGCACACCTTGCTTCAGAACCTGGCATAGCTCCAAAAGTAAAGGTGAACGAAATATGGATACCATAGAGATACCCCAATTCCGGTGGATGGGTACGGGTGAATTACCGGTAACCGTACCCGTGAAATGTGGCGAGGGGATCAACTAAAGTAACCCGGACTAAACGTAAGAGGATTGGAAACATCTCCTTTACTTCTTGGTAAACATGGCGGCTGCCAAGGCCAGGTTTGTAGTCTCATTTTCTAACCGTATTTGTTCGTAATTTTCTTGAATTTGCTCAGTTGTTTTTCGCTGAACAGGGTTTCATATATTTTGCTCCTTCTTTATAAGACTCGAAAAGAATCGGTTTTGGCTGAGCTTAGTATAAATAAGTATGTACACAAAAACTATACCCTCGATTTCTCAGTCGAGCACAATTGTTCCGCTGCCCATGACTGTAAAGATAAGCTCCAAATTCTTGGAAACTACCCTTTAAAAACATATTAATGGCTAATAAGCTTGATAAGGTTCACAAAGTGGCTAGTACAATTTTGTCCGCTAAAAGAATTTTTCGGCTATGAACAAGTCTCCGCACTTCGTCGCTTTCAATGATCAAACAGTTGGTTTTCGGTCAATTTTTCTTTTTAATTAGACTTAACTTGGTACAAACATATACTACACAACACAAAGTGACCATTTAGCTCATTTTACTATTCCGCGTCGTTTGCTGGTCTGCTCTGCTTCCCCGTCATTCCCGTGAGTAACCACGCCTAGACGGCTAGGTTACCCGGTGGTAAGATGATGTCACTATCAAATATGGACAAACATGGCGCCCTACCACTACTACTCCTCACTTGAGTCTTCTTTTGGTTTATTGCGCGCTGCTCATCCAATAGTAAAAAAAATTAAATGGCAGCCAAAACAAAATTTTTACACCTGTCCGCAAGTTTCACAAAGCAAAATTTGAACACATTTACGGCCGTTTTGATAACTTCAATGGACTGTGACTTGGATTTCTGTAAAAACTGTCCATCAAATCTCAGCCAATCATGTGTGGACCCTAACACGAGGTTCCAAAAGTTAGTCAGTCACATAGTAAACCGCTAAAGCAAAAGCCACTTTTGCACACAAACCAACCTCAAGCTTAATTCATTCGCAGCTAAGGTAAGAAAATTTCCTATTTTATTCATCCATTCGCTAGTAGTTCGCGAATCTTGCAGCCTTACGACCCGTGCGAGGAAGAATGCCAAGGGGAAAGTAAGGAAGTACGGTCTTCCTATAACGAGAAGAGTTAGAGGTGTTAAGCGCTGTTTATGTTTCTGCAAAACGTTAAGAGAAATATTGTACACTATGAGCAATGAGTAGTTAAAGGTTGGTTAAAACCCATTAACATCGCGCAGACTTGCTCTATATCGTATAAGAGCGCAGCCGAGAGAATATTTAGATGTTCAATTCATCCTTATCGAATTTCGCCAAACCGCCATTACTAGTACTTGAACAGTTAAGGAAATCGAAGCAACAATTAAGAGACTTAAGTATTGAATCACAACACATATACCATGTTTGAGAAATTTGCTTATTTGTACGTTCAGAGAATATATCGAATCAAAGTATTGACGCGGTATTGTTACGTATACACAAGCAAGATTTCATGCCGCAATAAATCCCTGGAATAGCAGAATGGCGTGGAATAACGTGTCATTTGAACTCATTAAACACGAATTGATCCCGACAAGCTAGTGAAAATTCAAAGTATTAAGAAGACAGTGAAAACGAGAATACCACCGGTTTTGTTCCAACGACAACACAGCAAAATGAGTGACGAACCCAGTAGCGTAGACGATATCCTTGGAACAATGGATAAAGGCGATATAAAAATTTGCATATTGACGCAATTAACCCTGTTTTATTTTGTGTGTGTGATGCTGTAGAACTATCAAAGGAGCAAAGTCAATGGCCAACGCTGACAGAATTGTTTACGCGAGTGCCAAATGTGTACCAAATTTGGAGAAAATAAAATAGAATTATAAGTGGTCCTACAAAAACATCGCAGTAAATCCTACATACAGGTCTCATTTAAGAAATAGGTTCATTCTTTCATACCGAAAAGATCAAACCATATCAAACGTATTCGTAACAGCATAGAAGTGGGACCTGTACACCTTCATACAGGGCCTCAAGAGTAATCGAAATGCCTGAAAATCAAACATTGCCCATGTGCAAGGTTGAGGTCAAATCTTTCATGAAAGCCCTTGATTTCAAGACAAGCAACGTTGAAATGTAGTAGATACCTGTGACCGAAGCAATCACTTAAATGACACGCATGTAAATTCTCATATTGGCAGCAGAAGTAAACTGAAAATTCAATTGGTATTATTTTTACATGTATCACTTCACAAAGTTTTGATATTTTAATCAAAGCCTAACTTCCCTTCACCTCATTGCTGTGAGGAGTTTAATCACCTTACTTTTATATTATGTCCAGATATGGCGACTTACATTCTGTTTTGTATTTTTTTCTAGTTCCAAAACAGGTTTATGGGCTCATATTCGTAAGTTATTGACTCTTCTCTACTTTTATGTATGCCACATGCTCAAATACATAATTGTGTAACCCAAGGGGTTTTCCCCTTGTAATAAATGATTGTTCTTTCATTTTGAGATGTACCTTTAAATCGTTACTTGAGATGACTATATACTGTAAGTTAAAAATGAACAAGCCTTAAGGTTAACATAAAAAACATTGATTTTTCCCTGTTTGTCCAAGTAGAATTTTTTAAAGTGAGACCTGTATTAACCCTTCAACTCCCAAGATCTGATTGTGAATTCTCCCCTCTAGCTGCTACACATTTCTGTAAATTAGTTTTGAGAATTTGTTGTTAGATCAAGATAACAACTTTGACCTGCTAAGTGTGAGACTATTCTCATTACCTGTTTGCTTGTTAATGTAAGGATATTATGGGAGTCAAAAGGTTGAGCAAGCCCCTCATGATGTAGACACCTCTACCACTTAACAATCTAATCCCAATTTTTACACCCTTGTTCACTGAAAATTAACCAAGATTTGACACTTACATCAAGCTGATACAGACATACCGAGGGAATTCCTCAACAACTTTAAGTTTAAGTTTAATGTATGAGTAGACTATTGGACTATGATTGACACCAACAAAAAAGGACACTACTTCACTGTTACACCTATACATGTGTACATGACCAATTACTGTGGTGACTAGAGGTTTTTAATCACCATTAAGTCACTATGTACATACTTGTGTATTAAGTTTCAATGAATATTCATACCTCATGCCCATCACCTTGGACATTACACTAGACACAGGCCATAGCAAATACACTTACCTATTTCTTGTTTATTTCATTATAGAGAAGATATGGCATTCAGCTTGTCTCAAATTCAGATACAGGATCTAGGGGTAAGAAAAAAACCTGTAACTAGATAAATCATCATGCAGTATTTTCCAGAAAAAAGAAGCCAGCTTAAAATTCAGTGTCCTCCCTAACTAACAGACTACTTCTCTTATCCCTTCCTAGGCCAAATTTTCAATATGATCTCATTTAAAGTAGCTGTCTGTCATCTGGTTTTCAATCTGTCGAACTTGCAGAAAAATGAGTGCAAATATTGACACTATTGAGTAACACACATTTACCCAACTAACAAAAAGAGTATACTAATTATTTTGTACAACTCAATAATAATTTCCTTTACACAGATAACTGCTGATACACCAAATATCCACCCAAGGTAAACGATCAGAATTACTGTCATAATCATGTCAGAATACAGCATCTTGTGCATTGCATGTCTACTTTAATTATCATACTGTACATGTATATACTTGGAAACACCAGCTATCCTTAAAGAAAAAGAGGATTTTAAGAATATTTAAGAATATTTATATAAGGCTGTAAATACAGTGTGTAGATTCATACTGTATCATGGCTTCCCTCTCCTCAGGTTACTAAGACACCCTTCATATCTCAAAACTCGCTAAACTTTGCAAAAGAACCAGAGAGGTTGACTTGGAAATGACAAGTTTCCAAAGTGTTGAAAAATAAAGTGCAGTTAACCACAATCATAATTTGAAAAATTTGAATACTTTCCCTCCAAGTGACACACTGCTAAAGATCAAAATTTTGATTTCTTGTACATCTCTACCATAAACTGTCAACACTTTTTAAAGAACAAACAATCCATGTACATGTCAAATAGAACAATGCACATTATACTTGTGGGAGTACCCTTGGTCTCTTGGGCCTTTTTTTCTAATTAAACCGAAAAGTAAATTAGACAGGGTGTGTTTATCTACATGTATACAAGCAAATCATATGTAACAATTACCTCGCCTGATTCCAGCAAACTTGTTTGAGTTGATTCTTATTGATTAATTAAACACATTGTTTAATGGTGAGCAAAATAACATAATTGGGAATGCACATGAAACTGTTGAATACTACTGTATATCTAGTTCAGATAGAGAAAGAAGAGTCTGAAAGTAGATTTTGCAAAGAAAATAACACTAGGAGTCACGATTCCAACTTAAGCATTTTAGATGGAAGATCAAAATCACTGCCCTCATACTCATTTTGTGGCAATATGCAGGCAACCCATGCAGGAAACCCCTGACAACATGCCAGCAAATCATGGTAACATGCAAGGAATTCATGACAATATGCAACGAATTCATGGCAATTTGCAACCAATTCATGGCAATGTACAAGCCATCCATGGCCATATGGAAGCAATACATGCATACGACTGGCATATGCATCCATTTGACAGAACGGTAAGTACCACATAACATTGGTTAACCAACAGAATATTTACAAGTATTTTGAGCATGTTGACTGATAGATACACAAAGGAGAAAACTGACCTCCACATTAACTAAATTTAGCAACTACTGTGTTGAAATTTGAATGTGCAAAGATCGTGTTTTCTCCTCTTATATTAGATGGTGCATAAATTTTCTGAGGATTATTTGCATTTACATATTTCCTGTTTAAAACTGAAGTTTTAGAGTAGAGTGTCCTTTAAACTTTCTTCTACAAACTTCTATAAAATTCAGAAATAAAATTGAAATGGAAAAGATGAAATTATAAAAATAACCACATTCATGTAAAGTACATGCATCTTTGCAAAATATAGTCCTTATACAAATGCCTGCTATTTTCCATCTGTTGATATATACCACTGGTTTCGACAGTGTAAACAGTAAAAATCACCTAAAAGAATAGATTTGTCCAGATTAAATGAACACCAAACTCACTTTAATGACTGAATAAGGCAATTTTCCATTCAGAGTCAAAAGAAAAAAAACAATACAAGATTGCATTAGTTATGCTTCACAAATGTAACTCAAGTCAAGACTTGGCCACTGCATTTATTCTGTTTTTAGTACCCTGGATACTTCTTAAATTTATGGAACTTGAGAAGGGGCACTTATTTAAGGAGAGCCTTTATTAGAGACTTGGCTGTTATTAAATTTTTCTCACTAATCAGAAATTGGTTCGGTCATTTTGAAACAATACTTCTCCTGTGCACTTTACTTTTTCATGGGGTTTGGGGTGCTTATTCACAGCTGGGTGCCTATTAACTTTTCCTACCTACAGGGTGCACACTTAATCAAGGTGGGCACCTTCTAGAGGTTGCATGCTTAATATAATTAATACATTACTTGCATTTTCCTTTGCTTCAGGCTGTTTTTTTTAATCGGAGTGCATAACGGCTCACCTTAATTTACATTTTGACAATCAATGGAAAATTGCATTACTTCTCAAAAGTCATACCAACTTGCATGACTAAAGGCTATTTTTAGGCAACAAGGTATTGTACCTGTCAAGGTACAAATATTGCTATAAAAAACTTCTTTATACCCAATATTAGTTTTTTCTTTAACTTAAAACAGGGAGGTGAAGAACTGTAAAAGATCCTGCCTCATCGAAGACTGTTGCATAATAACTTGCAAGACACTCAGGTTAGCAAGTAGAGTGCAGATGATAAAATTTACAAACTTAAAGGTATATGTATGTATGCACATTCAAGAGTGACTGGTTAAACTGAAACAGCCTTGTTTAAGCATTTGTCAATGGAAGAAAACAAGAGTTGAGTGAAATGGAGAAAGTTCACATGAATACTAGAATATTTCTCAGACTCTTTATTTTCATTCTTTCCATTTTTCAATCACATACCAAATTCAAATGTATCTGTCATTCCCACAAAATCTGTGAAGCTTTTGTATCAGTATCATTTCAAGGAAACAAGCTATTTACATGCATCATGTGGTTGATAAAAAAGCAAGGCTTAGCTTTACACCAAACGTAATTGATACCCATGGGCATTGCCACTTAAATTAGCAGAGAAAAGATGATAAAGTTGATTGAAGAATGTCGAACAATGTAGTACAATGACACTGAATGTAAAGTTTCTCTACTTAAGGTGATTCTTCAGAAAAAGAAAATTACAGAACAAATTTTTTAAAAATTGCCTCTAATGTTCCTTACCAATGTCTCTTTTGAAATATACAATAAAAGAAATAAGTCACCATGCTTGTTTATGATACATGATGGGCCAAAATTACCCCATTTTCAAATAATTTTTTTTGATTTCCCCAATTCAAAGGGGATAAATTGTAGACCAAAATTATGCAAAAAAAAAAATGTCATTATGCTTGTTCAACAGCTTAAGACTATTGTCACTATTTTTCTTGTCCTTGGATCGAAAAAACAATACTCTGTTCTTGGAATGCACACGCGCTCATTCCCCTAGTTACATGAGTTTTAAGCGCAATACAGGATGCACAGTGCAAAACTGAGGAATCACTCTATCATAAAAATCCAATGTCTCCATTTATCAGTTCTGTTATAGATCACAAATGTCAAAAGGTGGTACAAAAAAGGGGGGGGGGGGGGGGGGGGGGGGGGGGGGGGGGGAAGCACAAGGTGTCAGCCAAGTGTGTCCCTAATATTCTTCCCACAGTTTGACCTCTCCTATTATCTATTATTATCCAACTGATCTTAGTAATGTAAAAATAACATGTCAATCAAGTACAGTAAAATTCAACTTATTATGTTAAACTATACTGATAATTATCTCTCACAAGAGACAGAGACATACTACTATATCAACAACAACCATGATAGTTTTAGATTAGCCTTCAGCCCTTACACTGATTATGCTTTCCTTCAAAAATGTTTCAAAGGACGTGTTGATCACTTTGGTTAGAGAGACAAATGAATTTTTAAATCGTTTCTCTAGCGATAATGAGTCACAAATTAAACGATTGTGAATCGCAAAGTATAGACTGATGTATTGGCAAGGCTACTAGAAATATAGATTTAAGCGCACTTGTTTAAAATAACCTACGCACTTCAGCAAATGGTACATTCTGCAATTGCTCCAAGTTTTTAAATTCAAATAGTCTTTCGTTCGTGTTTCAAGCGTGATGTTAAACCGTCAAGTTAACCGTCGCGTATCACAGACCGTGTCGAAGTGAAATATAGAAATGGAAGTCATACTTCTCCATAACCAGACAAGTAGTTAGTACTTGTATGCCCACACCGGTTTGGTTCAAACGTGACGACCATTTTCGAAAATGATCTTACCGCCCTTTTCGCAGCTGTTATAAGCGCACGAATATGTATCTGTGATTTATCGAAAGCGTGAGCAGTTGGTTTCGAAGTGAGCATGCAATAAACAGATGTAAGTGAAGGAAACAATGATTTTCTCGACGGTCTTCACCATAAGATTAAAAATGAAGGAAAAGAAACTGTAGGAAAACTTAAAGCTAGTTGAAGACGCAATCTGTCGTTCTCTTACCTCTTATACCGAGTAAAATAACCGAAACTCGCTGTATGACACCGTTTTCCAGCAAACGCACCTTCAAGGTTCATGCTCAAATTTCGTGCATGCGCATTGAGACCCGCAGACTGGGAACCAGCGCTGCTCACAAGGTCGTGATAGAAGGTCGCATGATCCACAGCGACCTGGCCAATCATACCGAAATATTCAGTCACGCATGCCACCTTCGGACTAGTTGAAAAAAAAAACGCCCGAGTCTAACCAGTCAAAGAATGATAATTGCTTCTGGTGAACAAAAGATTAGATAGGTTTGCATGCGTGTCATCCCTCTCAGATCTGACTAAGACAAAACCAGAACGCCTTGAATGAAGAATGGGAAATGTGGAATGGGAAAACGAGGAATGGGGAATAGGGAATGGGGAATAGGGAATGGGGAATGGGGAATAGGAAGTGGTGAATGAGGAATGAGGAATGGAGAGTGAGGAATGAGGAATGAGGAATGGAGAGTGAGGAATAGGAGATGGGGAATGGGGAATGGGGAATGGGAAAATAAAATGAAAAATTGAAAATTTTTTTTCAAATTTTTTTTTTTTAAAGATTTACTGTTTATAATGAGGAACATATATTTTTCATCGATATCCGCGTTCTCTTTCAAAAAAGTTCAGTGACAAAATATCCTCGGATATTCCCCCGGTTTTAAAAGAGGAATATTTGTTGATTTGAGGCGTTTAGACCAGTCGCGAGCGAGCAAATATTTGATGGATTATATTCGAGGATATGTCTTATGCAATATTCCCTAATTTCAAGATCTACGTCCATTACGATAAGTCTTCGTTTAAAGTCAATTTAAGGAGAGAGAGCGTTTTGTGGTTGTTGTAAAAGAGGGAAACATGTTTGTTTGTTCATAAAATCGTACTGGAGGACACTGAAAAGTGAACATCCCACACGTTAAACAGTTAACTTTTTGTAAACACTTTTTTTACTGTAATTTTCAAAAACATTTGAAGGATAATAAACCAAATAGCCTCCATTTTGCGAAAAATAAAATGAAAAACGATCTTTTTTCCCATAGATATCCATCTGTGAGTTCGGATTGTCGTACGGAGTTGATAGTGACTTGGACTCTGAAAAATTCAATTGGGCTAACTCCTTTGAAAATTACAATTTATTAATAAAACACTCAAATAGCCCCTTCATCAATTTCAGAAAATTTGATTCAACCTATCACTTGTTCATGAAACGAATAAAATTTGTTTTTGCAACATTCTTTAGCTGTCATGTATCACTTCTTTTTTATCATCAATTTACTCCGTTCCTTAAATTTTGCCTCTCAACATTTTTTGGACGAAAGCGTGGATATCGATGAAGGCCACTGAATTAATTTTTATTCGCATGGTAAACATAAAATTTCCAAAAAATTCATTTCCCATTTTCAGTTTCCCATTTCATTTTTCCCATTTCCCATTCCCATTTATTCATTCCCACTTCCCATTCCCCATTACTTATTCCCCATTCCCCATTCCCTTTTCCCAATTTTTCATTTCCTATTCCCTATTCCCTATTCCCTATTCTCTATTCTCTATTCCCTATTCTCTATTCCCTATTCCCTATTCCCTATTCCCTATTCTCTATTCCCTATTCTCTATTTCCTATTCCCCATTCCCCATTCCTCATTCCCCATACCCTATTCTCCATTCCCTATTTTCCAATTCCTATTCTTCATTCCCAGGAGCCCATAATGGGCTCCTGTCATTCCCTATTCTCGTTTTCTATTCCCATTCTCCGTTTCTTAGTCTCCATTGTCCATTCCTCCTTCTTCATTTCTCACTTTTCATTTCCCATTTCCCATTCCCCCCTTAAGTAAAATCTCTCACAAAGCCCATTGTTTGCACCTCTAGGTTCTATGCTCATTCAAATGAGCTGTCCATGAAAACTGTAGGTTTATTTCTCTCTTCGTTTATGAATTGCGATCTTGATCACTGAAATAACATGCATGCTGAAAGATTCCTTGGACGCAATTTTATCATACGTGTCGCGCGTGCCTCTTACATATAGAGGATATGAAATAACAACGATGCCACGGGTTAGAAACTTATCAAAGGTAGAAGTTTTAGGGCAAGCCAATCTCTGTTGTTCCTTAGTGAAGAAATACGGCGAGGACTGGAACAGAGACGCGGAAACCGAATTCAACAAAAGCTTGTTATTAAAAACTACAGTTGTGAATATCTTCAATGTATCAGCTGGTAAAACAATGCGGGTGTCGCGCCTAAACGGACAGCGAAAAAAAAAAAATAGACAGTCAAAGACTGCATGTGGCTACTAATGTGGCACAATTTTCATAGCATTGAACAGAACTAGAGGTTGTATAATAACGCTGGAAGGTAGTGTTGCAAAAGATTTGTCTCATATACTAAAAAGTGTTTACCCTGTTCTACAAGAGAAAGGTGATTCAAGCTTCGAAGCTTCCATGATGCGCAGATCACATCTATTGAAATATTTCAGGAAAAAGTGCTGATTTATATTATGCGTCGGTGGATGCTACTGTCAAATTGTTTTGAGATGTTTATCGTCTTTTGTAGTGTCACGGAAAGACCTGAAAAAAATCACATATTTGGATCTACATAATTTTCTGTTTTAAACAGTAAAAGGCTCTCTCTCCGAAGAAAAAATTTCCCAAAGTTTCATGATGCGCCGATCACGCCTATAAGGATATTTCTGCAAGGAAAACTTGTCTTTTTAATAGCGAGCAATCCTGAAATGATTGTGAGATGTTTATAGTCTTCTGTTGTTTTTCGTAGCGTCACGGCAAGAACTGAAGAACAATGTGCTAGTGTCTATATGCCAGAAATCACAAATCACTTTTTCTTTACTTACAGAAACGTAAAAAACCGGCGAGAATTTATTAAAGAGAGCGTAGCACCGTACACAAAAAAGGGTTAGCCATGTCGAAACTCGAACAAGCCCCCGCCACCAAAGTCGATCGTCCGAACAATCGCGATTTGAGGCGTTTACTGGCTGTTACTTCGCTTGTTCATGTCTGAGAAGCATTTCGGAGCAAAATTTAAAATACGGGTGCGTATCAGTTCATTGAATTGGCTTAAAGACATTCTGAATTTTCATTTAGTTCATACAGCAATCTTAGACATGTCAGTATTCCAATGACCTATAAGCATTTTT